TGTCAAAAGTCCTGTTTTGGTAAATTTTCCAATGTTTCTTTTTTCTACTTTATAAGGTTGGAATATATGCTCCTCTATTAAGCCTCTATCAAATACTACAATTATTTGATGCTTTTGGAATCTTTTTGTGTGTGGGTGAAATTGTTAGAACTAAATTTTAGTGATAGTCTTCTAGAATTTCAAAGCAAAAGTACAAGTTGTCTATACAGTGATATATTTGGTATAAAAGATATTTCTGGATCTTTAGTTGGATTGCAAAATAGATACATGTCTAACTGCCTGGCTGAAAAGCAGTCACTATGGATGTAAAAGTAATCATCTCTGAGCACTTAGGAATTTACTAAAAAAGCAATTAAAAAGAAATGTATACAATACATAGCATCTATATAATTTGTTGAAAAATCTAATTGTAAACCTCTTTCCACTTAAGTATTTTGTGTGTAATATTTGTAACTGTTGTTCGTGGAACAGAAAGAAATATATCATCTGGAGAAAGCAAAACAACAGAAATGAAATACTACCTTTAAAATAATAGCTGTTATAATGGGTACTGTAATTAGATGCCTACAGCTTAGTTTCTAGTGACTTTAAGGATGCCAAATTGAGTTCTCATCAACATAACAAATATATTTGAAAAAAGTTTAAAAGCAGTGGAAGTTTTCAGGAATAAAATCTTACAATTATCCATACTGCCTTTTACATCACCCAAATTAAAACCACATGTGATCATTTCAAACACAACATCCATTTTTATCTTTCATAATCCTGTTTCTCCCTGCATGCGCTTGTTACTCAGGAGTACAAAAAATGAAGTTTCAAAGTAGAGCATTGGCTCCCCTCATACAAGTAGAATTAGCATGAGAGTCTTTTAACATTCTCAAATACATAAATTATAAACCTTTTTTCAATTCATATCTTCTGATGAAATGTAATCACTTTTCTGTTTCTCAAACCTCCTTAAAATCATCAGCAGCAAAGTGAATCAGATAAAATCTGCACATGTACATGTAGTACAATGGTAGTCTGCATAGAAAAATATCAGCAAAAAACAAGCACCTTTGTTGCAAAGAATATCTGCATTTAAGTCAGTGTTCTGTGTATGATTTAATGGCTGCTTAAAATCACTAATATGGGCTGGGTGTGTCTTGGCATAGACTTGTAATTCCACAACTCGGTAGGCTGAGACAGGAGGACCAACTGGAGCTCAAGGCCAGCCAGAGCTACTTAGTGAGTTTAAAAACAACCTAAAATGCATGGTGTGATCATGTTTAAAAAAAAAAATCTCTTGGGGTATTTTCTGTACCTCAAAATTCGGAATATTTTTCTATTTCTACCACATGGGAAATAACAATAATTGTGTTTTATATTAAATCTATGTTTTGAAAAGCCATAAAAAGAGACTTACAGTGAAAATGATTTTGTAAAGAACTTATTCTTCTGACTTAACATTCCCTTAAATATTTATGCAATGTATTTTCCCAGGTGATGTGTATGTCCAATAATAAATATTTCAAGTAACACAGAAAATAAATACTGAGTTGAATAATAGTGGTGTAGATAATGCAAACATCTTTGTAATTAGTAGCGCTGAAAACTCCAGTTAAAAAGTATGCCAAACTTTACAGAAGCAGCTTGTTAAGTAAATAGAATAGGCCAGAACTTTTAGGTCTCTTAAATTCTAGGCACTTAATTAATTGTGTGAAGAAGGACAGATGACTTGAACTATTTGTTCCTTGGAATCTTTCAATTTGAAAACTTCTAAATTAAATATCAATAATATTGTTAGAATTTGAAAATTTAGTATAATTTAAAAGCAGTGTAGTTCTCTACTGCTACTGATGAAGAATGATCTGTATGTCTCTTTCCCATTCATCATTTCCACGCAACATACATTTATCCTCACTGATTATTTGCAAGGGATTGTGCTGGGAACTATATGTGATTAAAATACTAACAAACACAATTTTTGTCTTGCAGAACCTGCAATCTGTCTAGGAGACAGATTACTAATAAGAATGTAGCACCTTGGACAGACAAAATTCAGACCCATACAGCACTAGCTGATGAGACAGAGAAACATGGTATAAAGAACATAGCTCTTTTGGTGCATTTTAAGGTTCAAATCCACTTCAGTGTGCAAGTTTGTATGGAAGAGCATTGCAGTTAAATTAACAGACTTCAGCAAAGGCATCAGATAAGCTCTGGAAAAAATAATGTGTGTTATTCTATAACATGAGAGCAAATAGCTGGAATTAAACAAAAGCAAAAATGGTTCTTAATCAGATCCTAGACTTAACAAATGCTAAGATGCTTATATGTTCTATAAACTGTGTGTTAGGATTCTGAGGTTGAGAAAGGTCCAAAGGTGACTGCTAATAATGTTTTCAACAGACTATGAATAGAAACATAATAAATGGAGGTGCTCAATGACAGTTCAATAGCAAGAGTTTCCTATGTTTTATAGAAAGTAAATATGAGAGACATCAGTTAAAAATCAAGGAGTCTTTTGTAGGAAAATGAACGTACCATGAGAGCATAAAATTAAGTGAAATAAATCAGGCACACAAGCTTAAATATAGCACAGAGGTACATAGTTTTTTGGATATGAGAAACTCAAGATATAAAGAGCAAAATAAAAGAGAAATAATAGGATATAAGGAGATAGAATTTTGTAAAAAGGAAAGAGACCAAGAGATGAGAGAGAGGGTAAGGGAATAGAAAAGGATTAAGATATGTCATGTACATTTACCAACTCTCCACGAAGAATGTAATTATTATGTACTATAAAAATTTACTAATAGAAAATAAAAGTTGAGAAAAAACCCTGGCAAGAAATGAGACAAGAATATCAAGGAAAATAGATTAACAAAAATATGCTGTGGCATGCTATGTCATGTTAATGGGCAGTGGATCATGGTAATCGAGATTAAAGGAAATATAGTCCATAGTACGTTCTGGACAGACAGATACAAATTCATCCAGAAAAAGGAAAAAAGTACAAAGAAAGGTTGTTTGTGAAAGGAAAAACTTTAAAAGAACTAAGAGTAAAGTCCTATATCTTCTCAGAGGAGAAAGATGTAGTGTAATCTCTGAAGGCATGTGGTGTCTGGAATTTGGGCTACACAGGGCTGACAATCCTTCCCAAAAGAGGAAAAAATATATAAACTTTATACATATATATACAATATATATAAAATAAAATATAATATAAATTTAAAAAATATATATATATACATAAAGAGTCAACTAGAGGTGAACAAAAGGATTTCTGTGAAACCATAAATGTATACTAATAATAGCAATTTCTAGCTGAGCCAGTTGGCACAGTTTTGCAACTTTTTCTGGTAACAGCAAGATACCGGCAGTGAAATCAGATAAAGTGCATGGCAGTGTAAGAAGGCAAGTAATTGTCACAGGAGGGACTTTGTGTGTGTGTGTGTGTGTGTGTGTGTGTGTGTGTGTGTGTGTGTGTGGTGTAGCACTGGGGATTCAACCCAGCACCTCATATATGCTAAGCAAACACTACCACTGAGGCAATTCTAGTCCTCAAAAGAACTTTTTTTTCCTTTTCTTGAGGTCAATAAGAAGCTATATGAACTAGTAAACAACTCAGTCACATAGTACTGGGTCTAGTGGAGACTAAAATAAAGTATTAAAGGGATTAAAGAAAGGATCTGTAGAAGAGAGGGGGAAAATAGAGGATTGTGAAGGTTATGCTCATAGGAGAGAATTTCTAAAATCAGAGTTTAGAAAAGAGGTAATTTTGAGTGTTAATTCTTTTTATAGTTTCACTTAAAGTGATACTAAAGTGAAGCATTTTTCTTCAGTTCACTCCATGACTTATTGGTAGAGCAAGGGCCAAAACCTAAATTCCAGGAACTTCACTCTGATACAAACCTGAAAAACAACTTGTAAGTAGAAATGATGTGCTTTGTCTCATGGTTTCAGTAGATGACCAGTTGGCTACATTGATTTTGGGCCTGTGAGAAGGCAGTACTTCATGGCAGGAGTACACTGTGGAAGATGCTGCTCATCTCATGGCAACGAAGAGGTGAAAGAGAGAAGAGGAAGAGTGTCCAGGATCCTAATACCTGTTTCAAGGGCATTTTCTCAATGACCTAACTTCTTCCCACTATGCCCAGCTTTCTAAAGGTTCCAGTGTCTCCCGTTAGACCCAAAGGTTGAAGACTGAACTTTCAATTTAAGGGTCTCTGGGGACATTAAGTATCCAAACTATAGCTGTCTTCAATTATATATGTCATCAAATTTCTTATGAAAAATACATTTTTAACTCTATAAATTCAGAAGCTTTAAAAAAATGATTGAGGCAAGAGGGTTATTCTCAAGCATTGACTTTCCAAAGGGCACAGAAGAGTTGTCCTGGACTGAAGTAGTATTTCAACATTGGCAGTGCTTATTAGTGCTGATACGGAGGGTAATTAAAAAAAAAACTAACTGGATTTTTTTCAATTTCTTAAACATTTTTAGAATCCACAAATAGTGTATTTGCTTACTACTTACCTTTACGTTGGTCTACTTCTATCCTACCCCTCACCTGACCTATAGTTATTCTCTCTGGAGTTGAATACTGACTGAAATGGCAATAAAGAAATAGAATTTTATAATCTAAATCACTTGTCAAGAAACTAAAGTGTTCAGACTAAATTTGGTCTTCTGCCTGTGTTAGAAATAAAGCTTGTTTATTACCTCTGTGTACTTTACTGTTGGTGGCTCTTTTTACATCTTAAACGCAATGCTGAGTAGTTGGAATAGAGTTCGTAAGATTTTCAAACCCTAAAGTTTACTAGTAGTTCCTGCACACAGAAAAATGTTCCTGACCTTTGTTCTAAATACTTAAAAATCAAAGCACTACTTGTCAACATGTAAACAAAACAGTTACTGTACATTCACATTGTGAACCAATAGTTTCATAAGTGTCTTTGTTAAATGTTTACCGTAGACTACCATTATATTTACCTATTGATGTTTCTCTCTTGTAGTCCCTGCTATGTGGATATTTGTTAGCAATGACTGATGTGGAAACTACCTATGCAGATTTTATTGCTTCAGGAAGAACAGGTAGAAGAAATGCAATACATGATATCCTGGTTTCCTCTGCAAGTGGTAACAGCAATGAATTAGCGCTGAAATTAGCTGGTCTTGATATCAACAAGACAGGTGAGTCCCTTGAGACACATCTCTACAAGTATGACATGATTGTGTCAAATAGGAGTGTGATAAAATGTGTTAAACAGGATTATGGCACAAAAGTACCTTTGAAAATAAGTTAACAGTTGTCTAGGGCAAGATGGAAGCCTACAATTACTTAATCATTCTCACTCCAATGATTTCTGTCTATAGGATTTGCACTAGAATGCTGAGTCCTTAGATTTTACTAATATATTCTATAAAACACCTGGTATTTTTAAAAATCCTAATCTCTATAAAGGCTCTGAAATTGTTTATGTAACACATGTAACGAGGTTGGTGATAATATTATCTACACTAACATTTAATGGATATTAACCAGTGAATCTGAGGGACCTCAATTCTAAGAATCATTTCAGAAAGTACCAGGACCAATTTGAAAGACAATGGAAATAAAGGAGTTTGTTAGAAATAATTAGATACAATGAAGGATTGGGGATTTAGCTCAGTGGTATAAGCATTTACCTGGCAAGTGCAAGGTTGTGAGTTTAATCCCCAGTACCAAAAAAAAAAGAATAAAAGGATTTCTTGGTCCTTTCATGATTAAATGAGTTTATGAAAAATGTGTATTACTGAATTTTGCATTTTTATCTAAGTTTGATTTTATTAATGAAAAAGAAAATTTAATGTTTAAATACTTGATAGCCTTATCTCTAAGTATTAGAATAAGTCTCCTAATAGTTCCTATTGTAGCTTTTGCACATATGAAAGTTGAATGTTTACTTAAAAACACTTGTAAAAAACTAACACTGAAAAGTAAAAGCACTTCACATTTAAAGAACCATAATACTATGTACCTGAAAAAGCATGTATCAGTGTCTAACTCATCTCATAGCATTCACTATGTCCTTACTATTAAAATTCCCCTGAAAAAAACCCTCAGTCACAGGAAAAGCAATATTATATATGCATAATATATTATATGTGCATTTAATAGTGTGGCAACATTACCTAAATTACTCAGGGTTAAAATTTTATTCAGTGGCTAAATCTCAGTAGGGAAGATTATTTTTTGAATTTTAGTTTAATAATAAACCTTAATATCAATATTTCAGGATATACAGGCCTATATCTATTTTGTTTGTCTACTATTACTATCAAGAGATTCTTCCCAAAGCATTTCTAAGAAATAAGAAAATTATTACATTTTCATATCATAGACTGAGTAAATATTTTTTGTGTGTCTGAGAATTCACTTGTCCTTTAAATGATTTATATTTTTTAAATGAGTATGTGTTTTTAAACAACCTGCATCAATTTAATCACTCTTAATATTAAAATATTTTTGTTAATAGCATAATATAATTTCTTAATTTTTGTTTTCCTACAAATGTAAGAATTGTTAGCCTCAATGTTTTTTATACAAAAGAACATAATAAATTATTACTAGTACTGCAAATAATTATGTCAATAAATATAATAACTAAAACAAGCTGATACTATGTATTAAGTATATTATATTTATATAACTTAAAATAACTCAAGTACCATCATGCTTTAAAATATCTTTTATTCTTTATTTCTTTCATTATAGCATGGTGAACCCAGGATCTTTGCACTGAGCTATCACTCCAACTCTCTTTTTGTTTTTCATTTCAAGATAGGATTTTGCTAAATAACAGGTTGCCTTATCTGGGCTCAAACTTGTGATCATCCTGCCTCAACCTCCCACAGTGCTGAGCTTATGTGCTTTTGCCAAAATGCCTGAATTCTAAATACCTTCCTGTTTAGTCATTTCTGTATGTTAATTACAATTCTGTAAGCACTTGTACAATTTTCCATTTTCAAATGATAAAAACCCTAAAATAGGCAAACTATACAAAGAATATTGTTTGAAATACAAAGAACTACAAATAATAACCATAAGGCATGAAAATATAGAATACAGAAAAAGACAAATATATTATGGCAAACATACCATCATTGAGAACTGTAAGAAACTATCTTTGTAATTTCTGTTTTCACTTTTAGTTTATTCTCAATAGCTTTGCTTCCTCATGTCACCTTGGTTTGTTTTATTTTTTTGTTGTTGTTGTTTTGTTTTTGTCGGTACCATGGATTGAACTCACGACCTCGTGCTTGCAAGGAAGGCACTTGCCGCTAAGCTACAACCCAGCTCTCCAAAATATTTTGTCCCCTACACCATATTGGGTACTCAGGAATCAAATGACTCGAGTAAATATTTTAATCTTGAGTCAAGAATTGCACTTGACTACAGCTTGCAATCATATAAAGGTGACCTAATGTGACATAAAAGTACTGTTCAATTTTAGTTTTTTATGTTACTGACTAAAATTGCTGCTGTGGGTGCATTTCTGAATGTGGTTTTTCTGGAACTGTGTATATGCTCTCAAAGACAGACCAGAGGCCACTATAACTACTGAATAAGAGACTGATCAACTAACATAATGTCCTTTGTTCCTCTGTTATTAATTTTGATTTGAACTAATAAAAACTCAAAGAAATTAACTGGACTATCTACAAGTACTAGAAATAACATAAAGTATAGTTTTAAAATATTACTTCAAATAGGATATTAAAAGGAAAACATCCTCCTACCTTTGATTTCATATTAATGATACTACTGATTTTTGCAACTTGTCGAACTACTTAATTGCCATGACTTGGACATGAGATTTCCCAGCTATCTATCAAAAACTTAGCTGATGATTTCAGACCATGAAATGTCAGACATTCTTTAGTTTTGAGTCATACTGTCTTCATTTCATGGAATATGCCAAGCTTTGAAAAAGTTTTTCTTGACGGTGAATTGACTACCAAGAAAAAATACATACATGTTTCTATGAAGATTTTAGACTTTAGGATTGAGAAACTGAGAGCTTTTTAAAATAAAAAGTTAAGCCTTTTTATTTTACTTTTATTCTTTTTTTTTATTTTCTCTATCAGAAGGCGAAGATGATGCACAACGAAATTCAACAGAACAAAGCGGGGAAGCCCAGGGTGAAGCAGCAAAATCTGAAAGCTAACCCCCCACTTTGACCTTCAACAACACCTGACAACATGGCAAATCTCCAGGCATTGCTGGAGTGAATGTGTTTCCATGAGCAAAATGGGGAAAAAGAAAATGGCTGTGCTGCATCACAGGAACCTGCTCATTATTATCTTAAAAATGGAGGCAGAGGCTGTGACTGCAGACAGACTTTTCTCTACCTCTGTCTTTAGTAATGGTTGAAACTATGTGGCTTGTGTTTGGATGTCATTTTTGTATGGATCCTTTCACTTGACCATGTGATGAAATGCTTGTAGAGAGTAGCACTGACCTAGATGATGATTCCTGTAGCATCTGGCCCCTCACAATGTCAGAGGATTTAATTGTGTCTAATTGCAAAGGGTTGGTTGAACCCCAGAGTTTAAATATCTCTGGCTCAAGTATTTACCCAGTAAAAGAACCATCCAGAAAGCACTGTTTTTAGCATTATGTACCTGTGTGTTACTGCTGTGTTACTTACACTGTTTTGTATTGTACAGTATAGACACTCAGCACTGCCCCATTCTTTGATTGCTTATTGAAAACAAAAATGATGTACATTACTGTGAATTTTTATACCACTCATTTTTAAAGGGCTGTCTTTTTTTTTTCATAGTGTGGTGGTGTGCACAGAACAGAACACATTTTTAAAGAATGTAATCTTTCCTCTTGATCATTATATAATGATGAATTTAATCTAACAGATCCATCAAATCCTTTGCTTGATTATACAGACACTTGAAAATATCCATTAATGTGAATATCACTTGAATTCAGTCTGTTTGGTGTCTGTACAGACTGAAATTTAATCTGTCGATTTTCTTTTATGTCCAAATGGGAATTTTTTCCCATCTAATATTTTTATTGTTAGTTATGAAAATGTGGAGGAATTGAGTAGATAAGAAAAGCCAAGATAATCCTAAGAACTGAAAATATTTTTCTCTATATAATCAAATTTCCCATTAGTGTGATATGCTACTATTTAAATTTGGAGAAAAACTCGCCTCCACTAGGCTGAAAAGGATGGAAAAGTGATCTCTTTGCAATCATGTGGACACCAATCACAAAAGTAAAGCCCTCATGTCATGTTTTTCATGTCTTTTTTCAGCCCTATCAGATCCAAATGTTATTATGCACTTTTTAATGTTTGTAAACTTTTAATATATTTAGTGTGAACTGAATTGTAATTATCATCATTAGAAGCTAACAAAATTTTCACTGATACTGTAGATGACCTATGCTGTGTTTTGACACCATGATTCTTCTATGGAAACATTTTGTGAGCTGTGTAATCCCTCTGGTCAGTATTTTGAAATCATTTATTAGTAGTAATAAATAAGGAATCAGTAATTTACAAGTGGTATATGTATTAATGGACAAATAACATAACGGGAAACCTCTTTGCAATAAAGAGCCCACTTAGCTGTCCTGAAGGCTTAGATACAATTCTAGGTGATGTAGATAGATCAGCATTTCAACAGGTAATCTGTGTGGTTATGCTAGGAATTCAGCCTTTCTCTAGTTACAGAAATTAAGTCTGCTCATATCTCCATTATGGCAATGTTTACTATCTGGGAGAAGAGCATGGGTGTTATTTGATTCTGAATCAGATGATACTGCCAAAAAAAGAAAGAGAAAGAAAGAAAGAGAGAGAGAGAGAGAGAGAGAGAGAGAGAGAGAGAGAGAGAGAGAGAGAGATAGCAATATGAGCCTCTCTAAGAACAAAAAGAAGATTGATTAAATTTTAGATTACTTCTTCCTAACATCCCCATCAGCAGGAAAATTTTTTTAAAATTCACCTATTAATAGAGTCATCTATGAATACAAGTTCCTGGGGGACAAGTTCTTGTGGTCTGTTTCAAATATCCATCCTAACAAAATTGGTTTTTCTTGACTTCATTTAATGTCTTGATAGCTTTCTTGTGAATCTAAAGTTTTCTTCTTTCTAAAATTGTGGAATTCCAAACTGATTTCATGTAATTTTGTAAAGTTTAGAACCAGTGCTGAGTATATGTGAAAGGTTTATATTCAGATATGATACATTATTATTAATGCATGTAGTGCCAAGCTTGTCTTTGAATATATAATTAGTGCTAAATGGTGAAGTCATATGGAGCTTTTGATTTAGTTTGACCTCTCACTGCTACTTTGTCTGCGATCTTGAAACTCAGAGGCATCCCAGCTGGGAAGATACAAACTGACTTTCCAAAATGTTTACATTCTATAAATTTTGCTTAGCTAAAGTATACAGTATTTTTCAAATTTTGCCTTTATGCCCTCCTCACCTTTTTGTTTTGCAAGATTATAATACATACAGAGCTGATTTTTAAGAAGACATGGAAACTGAGGCAATGATATGACAATCGTCATTGAAAGTATTCTAACAAACTATCCCTATGGTAATCATTTTGTAGCACATGCAGCACATATTCTCACATTTCATCCACAAACAATTCTATTAGAATGATTTATCGGATTTGACATATTAGGGAATTAATACTCAAAAATTCATAGTTTTACCGCACCTAAAAAGCTAACAAATGATGAAATTAATATCTGAGTCATGTTTGTCTTCAAGAAACTTTCCACAGCACAGGGCATAAAATTAAAGGCAGCTATAGAGAATATTTATGTGGAAGAGAAATTCTAGAATTGACAGAGCCACATTTTAGAAAAGAAAACAGAATTACAGAAAGAAATTGTCTTTTTTCAAGGTTACCTGAGTGATATACATAACTAAATCCTAGAAAATGTACTTTAAAAAATTATAACTTATTTTGCAAGGAATGTTTCCCAGAAGATATATTTCTGGCAATGGTCTGTAATTTTAGCATGGTTCAGATTGCTTATGTTCTATGCTTTTCTTTTTCATAATTACCTAAAACCTGTAAATTTCAGTTTTTGAGTCATTTGCAACATTAGAGCTTGTCAAGTTTACCTTTTCTCATGTATGCATCCAATGCCAATATATATTTACCTTGAAGTTCACAGAAATGTTTTCCCAATCAATGATAGTAACCTAGCCTGTAATTTCTAGGTGATATGATACTCTCCAAAGAAACCCACTATAAATGTTTTATACATGAGTCTTATTCAGACATTATGATACTGAGCCATTTTATGAGATGAACAATATTGCCATGTCTCCTATACAATAATGGATAAAGAAATGTAACTGTTTGGCAGTTTCTGAGTGAACCTGTAATATTAAGGAGAAACTGTGTAGTTATCAAGTATAACAGAAAAGATCTATAATTTATGTCGTGATATGCCCTAAATTGTTCTTTGATTAAAAGTGGCAGCCTCTGAAATCATTTGTGAGCTTGTATCACTTTTGTATTTAGCAATGTTGCATGCTCACATAATTGATATTAAAAGTAACACATTTTTCTGAAATGTACACAGTCTATTAAGAGCATTTATTGAACACACTCTATACATGTGGTGCTGGGTAAAGTGCTGTAGGTGATAAGGGAAAACTCAAGCCTCAGTCATTCTACAGTGTACAGACATATTCAGCCCTTCATCCTCATTTTCCTGGCCTTTCCTACAAAATTTTTATCTCCATTCGACTCCAGTATCACCCTTTGTAGATTTGCTAGAATCATTGCACGGACCAGATTCTAAAGCCCAGTATCACACCCATGATTTTCGCTTATCTGTAAGGAAGTTCATTTCTAATCAGGAAAAAGACAGATATTTAAAAGATGTCCCCTGAAAGGTTTATAACATTCACTGTCTACCTACATATACACAGATATAGTAATATACATTCTCTTTCCTTTCAAATATCTCCCTTTCTGACTTTAATAACCTTTTCTCCTGCCACTTTCACTTGTACTTCTTACAAAAGCTCATCTACTGTAGAAGCCTACTAAGGCTTTTAAGGGAATCAGCAACAAAATGCAGTCCTCACAGATACAAAATGTTTTATTTCATAAAACAACATTTTTGGGTAGAGGAATAAAGAGAGTTTGATTTATACTTTCTTAATGTTACTCTCATTTTGTCACGATCTTTTATTTCTAACATATAACCAGTAAAGACCACGTGGAGACCAATATGGGATTCAACAGAAAATATGCATCAAACCCTGCTTAAGATGAGTCTAGGCAAAATCTTAAGCCAAAAGACAAAAGAAGATGTAAGTATTAAAATTCATCTCACAAGGGTAAAATACTACATAAGGATTTGGGACAAACATGCTAGCCAGTAAAATAATTCTAGACAGTCTTATGTCATTTGTTTTTGTACATTTCTTCCATATGTCTAGGTTAGGATATGAGGATTACAGATTTGAAATGAACAAACTGACAATAATCCACTAACAATCAGATTTATACCTCATGTGCCTTTTGATCATACAAAGATGGAAATTTCCTTGACAAGCTTCTTTTTAGTTTAAAATCCCTTAGTAATTTTTTTCCTTAGTGCCAACGTTCTTTACTTTCTTTATCTGCCATTTCTACCCAATCAATATTATATTGCTATGTTCTTAATCTATGACTACAATCTCTCCATATATTTTGGCTATATCCTCAGACCTCAGAGTGCTCTTTTGTTCAAAAGGGCATTTGCCACATATATGGATACCAGTCTTGAGATTGGTGAATGTGGAGATAGCTGATACTATTTTGTGATAGAGTGCTGCATTCCATTTTACTCTGGTATGACTGCCACTAGTTGCTCTCATCAACAGGTACTAATCACAGTCTCACTGTACTTCTCTAAATTAAACAAATATATCAGCATCAGTTACCAAATATGATGGATAACTATTGTATATTTTATTTGCTACTTCAGTGGTATTTCATGCAGTTCATCATGCTTTATCTTTCTTTTTTTTCCAAGTGATTTATTGAGGCATTTAAGTTACTTAGTAGCTTATTTCTTTTTCTCTCATAACTCCTCACTCCTCTTAGTAGTTCTTCCTTCTCTACTTCTCCAATAAATTCTTGTATTGTAGTTTCCTGGGAATCCACCTTTTTTCTCTTTTCTAATTTCCTTCACCTCTTCTACTCATACACCATCAGCCACCATATTTACCATGTTGAATCTCCTATCTTCATCTCTAGCCCACAGATTATTCCTTATCATCTGACCTTTTGAATAGTTGAATATGTATATCTCCAGTAACTTAAAATTCAATGTTTCAACACTAAAACTATGTATCATCCCATTTCCAAAACTGCTTTTCTTCATATACCACATGCTGCATGTAGCAGTGGTTTCCTAATAACCTTAAATCAAAAATCTTAGAGCTCTTAACAATGTTGTGTTAGTTACTTTTCTCTCATTGCTGAGACAGAATACCCAATGGCCAGACTTAAAGAGATAAAGTTTTATTTAGCTCACAGATGGTGGAGGTTTTAGTCCATAATCAGCTGGCTCCAAGATAGGGTGGCATGGCAGAAGAGCAAAAGTTCATTATGGTCGAAAACAGCAAAAGCAACAATAAGAGCAAAAATGAAGGGCCACGAGAGAAGACTCTGCCCCTCATATTGTATTGTAGGCTACCCACCTTAGGATGGGGTAGCACTCATGCCCATAATCCTAACACTAGACAATGAATCAGTCACAAACTCTAGATTCAGGTGCCTCTGAAAAGCACACTCCTGTGACTACATGAAGCTTTGGAGGGACATCCAGACACAAACCAAAAAAATATGTCCTCTTCACTCAATTTGCTTTTTTTGTTCATTAATTCTAATTTTTACCTATTTCCTAAAACTACTTCTTTTTGTCTATACTTCATTCCTTTTAACTACCATGTCTCTAACATAAAGCTTGTTCATTGGGACCTGTCTCATCTGGCACTCTTCTATTTACCTTCCAACCAGATGAATTTTTCTAATATATAAATCTGATTATTTCACTCTTCCTATTAGAAAATTCTTAGTTTTAGCCAGGCAAAATGTTTTTTTTTTCTTTTTTTAAATTTTATTTAAAAGGAAAAAGAGAAAAAGCAAAACAAAACAAAGCGGTGTAAGGGTACAAGTAATACAGAACTACAAAAAAAAAAAAAAAAAAAAAAAGGTAAGAAATCACCAGTTAATAGATTACACATTATTGTCTTAGAGATAGTTGCTCAAGTCACAGTATCAAAGCATACAAAGTGAACATTCAAACACAGAGACTGCAAACAGTTGTGTTCAATGATCCAACCAAAAACATTAATATGGTCAGGTATTTAACACCCCTAAACACACTTGCAGTTGTATCCTTTAGAGCACTTTTTTTCTCTCTCTTTTTTACAACAAAATTTAAACATTTTGGGTTTTATTACTCCTTAGTTCTTATTACTTTTTTTTTGGATAAGAATAAAGTCAAATATGGCAAAACAAAGCTGTTAGTCAAAACCAACAATAGACATAGTACATGATGTAAGAACAGAGTACAAGGTTATCAACAATGGTTACCATAATGTTTCTTGTTTCCTTAAAAAGAATTGTCTATCTCATTAGGTATTATAAAGTTGAACAAAACAGTAGAGAACAAGACCAATAAAACTTAAACATTGTAAACATTGCAGGACTTCCAAAGGAGATAATAGTCAAACCAGAATGGGCATCTTAGTGAATCTTATTGCCTTCAAAGTAGTTGCCTATACCCCCAAACTTGATACTATCATACAGAATGGAACAGAGTCTAATCAGTCAAAACAAGATAATGGGAGTATTACAGGACTTCAAAACAAGTTAATAGAAAATCAAAAAAAGTTACTATAATATATCCTGCTAATTTTTTTTATTTTCCCCTTAATTAAAAATAAAGCCTTTCCAATTAATAAGTGACAACTTTATAAGGCTTCAAGGCCACATAATGGGGAATTATGATTACCACATACTTTTATATATTTGAATCATTACTTACATTAGGGAAACTATTCGGTATTCACACATGCGAGATTGATTTATTTCACTTATGAGTATGGTCTCAAGCTGCGCCCATTTATTGATAAATATCTCAATGTGATCCTTCTTTATAGCTGAGTAATACTCCATTGTATAGAAATACCACCAACTTTTTTATCCATTCCTCAGTTAATAGACACTTGGGTTGTTTCCAAGATCTGGCGATTACAAATTGTGCTGCTATAAACATAGGTGCACATATATCACTGTGGTATGATGCTTTCAGTTCTTCTGGGAATATGCCTAGAAGTGGAATAGCTGGAATATATGGGACTTCCAACCCCAGCTTTTTGAGAAATCTCCAGACTGACCTCCACAAAGGTTGTACCAGTCTACACTCCCACCAACAGTGTAGGAGAGTTCCTTTTTCCCCACAGCCTCTTCAACATTTGTTGTTGTTGGTTTTTTTGATCCTAGCCAGGCAAAATGTTATACACACTTGTTTTTTTATAATTTCTTGGTATATTTTAACTTTTTTTCCTATTTTTTAAAAATCTTCTTCAAGTTTATCAGCAAATTAGCATTGTTCTTTTCACACTACATGCTACTGCAATCCTTGCTGTAAAGTCTTTTTTTTTAAATTTGTATTTCCATTCTTAAACCTCACTGTAGGAATTTAACTTTTCCATACTGCTTGCTCCCTAACACAATCTGTAAGTGTACCTGGTTATTTCACAGCTATTTTTATACGCATGTACCTGTCAAACTTGTGGCCAGAATTCCTCTTTGCTCATCTTTGTATCCCCATTATCTCTCAGACTCTCAGAAAATATTTATAAATAAATGATGTGTAGTGTCCTAAAGATTATAATAAATTTAAGAGACAACTGATGCCAAATCAATTAGGGAAAAATGAAATTAAGAGATAAAGTTGATGGTTGAAAGTAGTGATGTTTGCATAATGTTGCATTGAGAGAGCATAAACTTGATTTCTTTTTTTTTATTGTGCAATAGATTATTTTAAAATATGTATTTCACATTTTTTGATGCACCTACACACATAAACTAACTTGGTATAATTTACAGAGATATCCAAAGGACAGCATATAAATAAATGAGCCAAGAATGAGTAAACTATTCACCTAAATAATGACCTTGGTAAAGGTAATACTTGGCATTCTGTAGCATGAATTGTTTTAAAGTTACTGAAATTAAAATTAGATAAAAGAAAAACATTTTATTTTATTTATCTTGGCCAACATAACATATTAGTTAAATCAAGAAAACTTTCGAGAACTTTGAACAATGATATACTACAGTTTCTAATATGCTTTACTAAAATATTCTCTAATTACCTAAAGAAATGGAGTTCACTTAAGAATATGACAAATCGGGCTGGGGCTGTAGCTCAGTGGTAGAGATCGTGCTCTACATGTAGAAGGACCTTGGATTCAATTGTGTGTACCATGGGCGGGGGTGGGGGAGACAAATCTCATAGAAAAACACAGAGTAATAGAAAAGAACTAAGAATAACAATCTCATACAC